GCTACCTTAGCTCACTGTGGCTGCACGCTACCTTAGCTCACTGTGGCTGCACGCTACCTTAGCATCACCTGAGGCGCTCTAAAGGCTGCCTGTGCCCCAGGCCAATTCAATCAGAGTTTCTGCAGGAGGCATTCCAGTTACTGCTCTCTCCTCTCCTTTGTAAGCTTAAAAACAGGTCTTGATTACTTTTCTCTGTCACAGCCCCAAACAGGTTCGGCATCTGAACTTAGAAAGGAATGAGTGAAGGGAACTACAACATTCAAAACAGGCACATACAAACAAAACCTTACCTCCGGCTACTTTACATGGCGGCTGCCTGACACCCAGGCTGCCTGCACCTTCTCAGGGGGCTTCTGCGGGGCCTCCACATGTACGTAGCTCCTTGGGGCAGAAAACCCCTCGCCACTGCTGGGAGTTTTCACAGGGAAACCTAGAGTAGACTGAAGAGAACACGCGGAGAAAATGTAGGTACTACAGAAGAAAAAATCCATAGCGCTACTTCATTAATCCAAGCATTTAGTATCTTGGTGTACAATAGTCTTCTTTTCCCACATCCGTGTCTATACTCCTTAAAAACCATGTGTAGGAGAATAGAATCTGCAGCTGAAGAGCATAGCATCATATGCAGAAATCAAGACAGGACAACCAAGGACCTTACTCTAAAAAAAAAAAACACCACACACACACACACAAAAAAACCCAACTGGCTGGGTAGCTCAGTTGGTTACAGTATCATCCAGATACACCACGGTTGTGGGTTTAATCCCTAGTCAGGGTACATTAATGTAAATAAGTGGAACAACAAACCCATGTTTCTCCCGCCCCACCCCCCTCTCTCCAAAAACCAATCAATAATTTTTTAAAAATATGTAGAAACTAATTAGAAAATAGGAATATATATGACAAATGAAAATTATATAACATTGTATGTCAACTATATTTAATTTTAAAAAGTTAAAATAAAATATATTCAAAATATGCATGAGGAACCTGATAAAGACAAAAACACCTCCCATCCTTTCCATTCATAACTTCAGGGCATTATGTATCGCTGTAGGCATTATATTCTCCAAGACGGTTTTGTTTGTTAGTCACCCCGACGAGATTATAAGGGTCTTGATCTTTTTTTCCTGTACTTTTTACTTGTATCCTTCATGGCACCCAGTCCAGTGTTATGAACATAGTAAGTGCGCAGCAAATGCTTCCTCGGAGTTATCAAATACATTGAGTGTCTGAGGCAAGAGATGCAAGGAAAGAACTACAAAATGTGATGTGGCATTTTCACCAGAACGTGTGACCTTGTCTCTTAATGTGGTTCTTGAGTGTCGTCTATGTCTGCAAGGACTCCGTAAGCATCTGACACACAGGCGCTGTAGCTCATGCGCCCTGATGTTATGTTCTTAGTGACACAGTTCTGACACAGCAGAACCACTTCAGCGATTGCTACAAAGTCCACGGCTAATTAAAAATAAGCCTCACCCTGCCCAGCGCCGCTCAGTGGTTAGAGTGTCAGCCTGTGTACTAAAGGGCCGCGGTTTCCACTCCTGGTCAAGGGCATGTACCTGGGTTGCGGGCTCCATCCACCTCTGGTCCGGGTGCATGAGGGAGGCAACCAGTCGATGTGATGTGTCTCTCTCACATTGATGTTCCTCTCTCTCTGTCTCCCTTCTACTCTCTGAAAAAGCAGTGGAAAAAAATATTCTCAGGTGAGGATTACCCAAAAAATAATAAATAAATAAATAAATAAATAAATAAAACCTCATATGCTAAAGAGCCAAATCAATAAAAATGTCAAATAATGCAGAACAGAGCCAGATGTCAAATAACACACTGGCATTCCTAAGCATGTGTGTTTTAGCAGCTTTGTTCTATATTATAGATAGAGGGGTCCCAGTCTGAGGGAAGGGAGTGTAGCAAAGTTAGCATTGGTGGTGCTGGTGATGGTAGTGATCCTCATTTCTTATTATATTGTAAAAAGCAAGAAAATAACAAGAGTGCTCACAGTATATATTTTTTTAAAGTAACGTCTAGGGCCTAGACCAGTGATGGCGAACCTATGACATGCATGTCAGAGGTGACACACGAACTCATTTTTTTGGGTGATTTTTTTCTTTGTCAAATGGCATTTAAATATATAAAATAAATATCAAAAATATAAATCTTTGTTTTACTATGGTTGCAAATATCAAAAAATTTCTATATGTGACACAGCACCAGAGTTAAGTTAGGGTTTTTCAAAATGCTGACACGCCGAGCTCAAAAGGTTCGCCATCATTGGCCTAGACTCTAAATTTAAGAAAGGGTACATACAGATGTGGTCATCTCTTGGTTCTGAATGTAGTACAGTGTAACTGTTTCATTTAAGTAGTGTTTAACTTTGATGGAAATTTTAAAGGGTTGGTAAATTATAGATTCAATATTCTGTGTGATTTCTTTCCCCCGTATCCATGAATAATCATTAACTATATTTTACCTGTGAGTATGTAAACTAAAAACGCCATTAAGAAGCAGTCAGTATTCTATAACACCACAAGATGGTGATGTTGTTCCATTTAAAACAGTGGTTCTCAACCTTGGCTGCACATTAGAATCACCTGGGAATCTTTTTAAAATCCTCATTTCTGGGCCTCATCCTCCGGAAATTCTGTTTCTTTGTTATTAATGTTGTGCCCCCACCCCATAACAAAGAAACAGAATTTCTGGAGGATGAGTCCCAGAAATCAGGATTTTAAAAAGATTCCCAGGTGATTCTAATGTGCAGCCAAGGTTGAGAACCACTGTTTGAGACGAATGAATAAAAGACAAGATGTCATAGTCACATTAAAGGTACTAACAAAGTACTGAAATTAAAAGGGGGTCATTGTTTCTCAAAGAGACTTTTATTATTTTATATATGGAACACAATTTTCCCCATTAATTCATGAATAATTGATTTTTCCACATTACCTTAAATTTTCATTTGTTAAAATATCTGTAGTATACAGAGTAAAATAAGGTAGTCCTAAACACTTAATGAAAATAAGAGATAATAGCGGTGTTTAATTATATGATTAAATGCTGCCTCTTTTCAGTTGCCATGGAACCCTTACACTTTTCTGCAACAAAGATGTTTCTTTACATGCCTTATACAATAAAAGACTTATCAAATAGGTCTTTTATAAAGAATGAAACTTACACATTTCCCCTCTCGCATACACAATGACAAAGTGCTATTGCTTGTGTCAATTTATATCAAACAAATCTACTCAGGTCTTCCTTTGTAAATCTTGTGTGGGGATAAAGAAATTAACCAGGAAAAGAGAGAGAACTGAGGCTATCTGTAGACAAAAGCAAGGTTACTGGGAAGGCAGATACTTTGTCAGACACACAAGAGACATCACGTATAAAAAGGGGAACAGAAGAGCTACTTGGCTGCTTAATACCATTTATTCTCTTAAGTTCAGAATGGCATCAAACACCAAGCACCCCTGTCATCTTCTGTTAAAATGCTATTAATGAAAAGGTAGACAGACACCCACTGCTATTGTTTTTCAATGGTAATGGAAATAGCACAGCTGCTCTCAGTCGACTTGAAATCATCTCAATATGTTTTTAAAAAGTTTTAAAAACAAATCTGCCATCATTGTTCTCACTGTTTTATATTTTTTTATTTTCCTCATTCAGAAAGAGATCACAATTATACAAATGCTTGTCACTAATCTATTCAATATCCCTTTACTTATCCATCTCTTTTGTTTCTTTAAACCTTATCCTATATAATAAAAGAGAAAAATGGTAATTGGCGTACGACGATACCCTTTTCATTGGCTAATCAGGGCTATATGCAAATTAACTGCCAACTCAGATGGCAGTTAACTGACAACAAAATGGCGGTTAATTTGCATATGTAGGCACAATGCAGGGAGGT